TCTGTAGATACAACCTAAAATCATATTTGTCCTACCACTAACAACAGCACACTGCTTGGATGGTTTAATAGACTGATCAATCCCTACACAAGTATCTTTTTCTTCCATAACATCATTAAGGTTGTTTATTCCTTTCAAAATTATACTTATAATTCAAACTGAAATATTCCACCTGTAATACCTTTCATTTATTATAATTAAAAGCCATCTGCCATTTTTTTGCCCAATTCTCCAAATAATCCAAATCCTTTTGTACAGCGGAAGTATCCTCCTCATGACCAGCAACACTAAAAACTTTAATGTCATCAACAAATTTAAATAATCTATAGACCATTAATTCATCCGTGTCATTGATGTAAGACAAAAAGAGCAAAGGTCCTAACACTGAGCCTTGAGGTACCCCATGCATAACATTAATCCAGTTTGGGTGAACTCCATTTAAAACAACCATCTGCTTTCATTTATTTAGCCAGTTTTCTATCCAGTGAACTAACCTATCCCTCACACTTAGAGAACTTTTTTGATAAGCCTTTTATGTGGCACCCTGTCGAATGCTTTTGGAAAATTCAGAAATACCACATCCACACCTGTACCTTCACCTATTTAAGCAGAATGTCAAAAAATTATTAAGGCAAGATTTTTTCCCTAGTGAAACCATGTTGACTATTCAACAAAATTTTAAGTTTTAGTAAATAACTTTGCAAAGCATCTTTTATCAGACTTTACAAAACTTTTCCCACCACTAATGTAAGATTGGAAAGCCAATAATTACTGGAACAATGTTTATCACCTCTCCTGATAAAAGTAAAACTAACCAACCGCCAATTTTCTGGCACCTGTCACTATTCAAGGAATTAAAAAAAATAAAATGTGGCTCACATATTCAGGATAACCTTTTTCAAAACCCATGGATAAACATTATCTAGCTCAGGTACTTTATAATTTTTTAAACTCTCCAGTTTTTTTCTTAACAAGGTGCAGCATTGCGACTTCTGTAATAAGTGGGTTACTGACAAGTTTGCAGACTTGCAACAATAAAATCAGAGGTTCAATTTCTGACATTGGACATAGCACACATAGCCCATTGTGCAACATTCCACTAAAAAAATCAGTTTTGTCCAGGAAAAGTGTGTGATATCTTTTGTATTAGACATGATATTTGAAGAGCCTGTTGTTTTTATCTGTTGGAATTGTTCTTTCCTTTGTCTTACAGATACAATTCAATACTAAAGATATCCTTTTTTTTTTCTATGGCTATAATTTCTGGTCTTGCATGATTTTATAATTGTAGACTAAGAGAACTTTGTATTTGTAAGTCCTGTTATATAACCCTCTTAGAAGTGGCCATGTACATCACTATATAACTAAATTGCAGTTACAGACTACAGACATGGCCATGGACAAGGTAATTGGGTATTCAGACTGCTAGCATACATCATGAATATTATGCCTTTACAATGTTATGCAAGGATATTCAGTTCAGCTTTATGGCACTGCACCATGTGTACTTGCACAAAGATTTATGTGTAATTTCTAGTCATTTATAGACTAGTGCCATAAGATTTATATATATATATATATAATCTTGAAATACTTTTTTTTTGCACCTTCAAATCGTTATCTACTGTTTATCTAAAAACCTTTAACATTAATGTAAGAAAGATCTGTGAGTGACACAAATAATATTTAATCTACTTTAGAAAAATTAAAAGCCAAAAACGTAAAACCAATATACCATGTATTGTACCAAACGACAACAAATGGTTTAAGTTAAGCTACATTATTAAACCTTCTCACAAAATATATAACACACTGAACAAAGAAGTTTACAGACTGGCCTTCTACTGTACAAACAATCTAGGCAAAATGTTATGCAACAACAAAGACAAAATGAAAGTAAAGCAACAATGGTGTTTACCAATTAACAATTCAAGACTGCAGTTGTGTATATGTAGGTCAAACAAGACATTCCACACAAACGAGAATTAAAGAACATTCTAGAAACTGGAACTTAAGATAAATGGATTCAAACTTTGCATCCGAACTTACTGAAATTAAACACCAATTTGATCTGGAATAAGTGTTACATATCTGTGAAAAAAGGTAAAAACTAGATAGCCTAGAAATTTTAGAAGTCTAGAGACAAATCCAGAAAAACTTCTAGATGACCAAATCAACTTAAGCTCCTCCCCCCCTTGTCTCAAGGTGAATGTTAAGGCTGCTTCCAGTTTTTTTTTTAAACTATATGTAAACCTGTTTACAAACCATTCCAGTCTTAACCTGATGATTCCTTTACTGACAAAACAATGGTAGTCAATAAATGTTGTGAAACATACAATTGTCTTTACTTTTTCTTCAATTTTGTAATTATATATCTTTGTGCATACTAAGTATGTACTGAAAAAATTAACATTTCCAACATCAAAACACACTTCATAGAACTAAAGCATTGTCTCAGGCCAACATACCTTCACTTCTAACCCAATTTTATTTTAAATTTATATTTGGCTAAGAAGGAAATGAATGCACCTTGACTTCAATAAAGTTGGGCTTAGGTGTGTCAAGTCACTTTCCTCTCCTTAAATTTGAAATGAAAAAAGCTAACTGAAGGATAAACAACCAGGTGGATTCTATACTTCCTTTTCTCTTAATTTTATAATGACAAGTAATTATTGTCCTGTGAAATGGAAGCTAAAATTACAGTGCATTTCTGAACTTGAGGTAGAAAAGGTCATATATCAGTCTGCTAGTGAGAGAGAAAAAAAAAGATGTATCTGTATTAGTGCACAAGATAAAAAAGTTAATTGACTTGTGCACAAAATTTTCAAAAACGCTACTTAGTTTAAGAACATTATGTATTTTTCTAATATTAAAAATCCAACTAACATATATTTATATAGCTTTTCTATTTAGTTTTAAATTTAGTGTTATAACTGCTGTGTATTTTTAACAACACTAATCATTGATACACTAAGGGTGAATGATATGATTATTTTGACAAATGAATAAAGTAAATAAAAAAATTTGATTTTGTTTGGTTGTTCTAGAAAACAATAGTGCTTTTCTTAAAATATTTGTTAAAGATTATCAATAGAGATGTGGTTTATGAGATATAAACGATTTAAATGCAACTATATTTTAATGTTAATAATAACTGGCCGTGTTGCCACAAATCGGGTATGTGACTTGTGCCCATAGGTTTTGTTGCTGTAATTCTATAAACATTAATTTAGTTTTTATATATAAAATGTTTATTCTACAGCAGGCAGAACCACCTTCTGTTTATAAAGAAAAAGGTATCTTTTCAGTTATAACTACAACCTTAATATTGCTTAATGTTTAGATTTATGGAAAACTAACTGCAAAGCAATGTGGAAGCTCCTTTGCTGAAATGTAGGGATAGAGATGTTCAGTTAAACCATAAACACAGATTATCTGGTTTTATGTTCACAGATCTTTCTTCTTATTTATAAATATGACATTTAGGACTGCCTCTGATACAGTTTTGAGGTTTTTTTAATATAATTTCCAAAATTAAACTTAACCAACAAATCTTGTAGAGTAGACATAAAGTGTTTAACAAAACTTAATGAGCACTTCATGCTCTTTATTGACAGAAACAGGAAAGAAATGACACTGTCATGGATTTTGCAACAGAAAGTGAAGGACTGAAAAAGCATGTTGGTGAAGTGGAGGAAACAGAAGGGGAAACAACAGACACACCGTCAGGTCCAGAAAGCTCTGTGTCACCAAATACACCTTCTAGCCATCGTGAGGAGATGGAAGTAGAAACTTCAGAGGTCCCTTTCTCAAATAAAAATCCATTAAAGTGGACGGTAAGAAAAACTAAATATAGTGTTTAACTCTTTTTTTCACCATATTTGAGATGGTACTTACACTGATGTTTTGTATTTTTTAGATTATCTGAAGGCTTAATTTCACATTTTCTTACATTTTCAAACAACTGGAAGATAAAATAAATTGATGATATTAAATTGATATACAATTTTTCCTCTCCTTTTTATTATTTCCAATCAGAAAGCAGATTAATCTGTTTTGCAGAAAGTGCCACTAGTGTTCATTTCCCATGTCTTTTGAGTTTGAAGTTTCAAAATTAAGCAAGATAATTGATGCTTAGGAATTTTAATTCTATTTGAGTACATTTCATGCTGATTTGTAACTAAATAGCTGTCTGTGATGAAATAGGTTCAAGAAGTGTACGAGTTTATCCGTGGGCTTCCTGGTTGCTCAGACTATGCAGACGAGTTTCGATCTCAAGAGATTGATGGTCAGGCTCTGCTGCTGCTAAAAGAAGACCATTTAATGTCTGCTATGTGCATGAAGCTTGGTCCAGCCTTGAAGATCTGTGCTCGCATCAGCACTTTAAAAGAAGAAACACCAGGAGTGCTCCTTGCCATGTGAGACACTGCTGAAAGCTATCATCTGGTATTATCACTATTACAACAGGTTATGTGGTGAACACTATTGGTTATTAAATTGCTTGTTGTGTTAGTTCTTTGTATTCTTTATTGTTGTGTAACTCTAGGTATATTTTATCTATTCATTGTAATGTAGTCTGTGTTCATATGTCATCTGAAAATTTTGTATTGCAGCATGTAGACTGTTGCAAAATAAGTAAAAGGTTGATGGTCTAAAGTCATGGGAAATCGAATACCAAGATTGATGTAAAATCATGTATACCATGCATTGTACATTAAGATAAGAGATATTGTTAATTATTGCAACTTGTTTTATGTTAGTAAATTTTGTTGCTTGTATTTGAGTACTATGAGCATAATGTCTTTAATTTTAGAAACTTCATTTAATTACAAAACTGCATCACTAGTCTCTGAAACTTTTCTGCACTGTATCAAAAATATTAGCTTTTACATTCATTTACTTTTCTGTCTTTCAAGGTCATTCCTATGAAGAAATAACATTAAACAGTAATGTCATACTGATATATCAAATACATAAGATATTCCATAACAATAGACTTTTTTTATATTTGCATTAATTTTTTACTTAGTAATTATAAGAACTTCTGAGTGAAAGCAAAGAAGAGTGTGTAATATATTTCAACTGCCTAATCAGTTGGAACCAGTATTTCTTTCAAGTATTTTATTTATATTTTTCATCAAGAAGATAACTTACCTTTATATTTTGTAGACTTTTGTTACATTTAATTTTGCTGTCCCACCAGATGGCTTGTTAATCAATTCCATGAGCTCCAATTTTTTCTCTCTCTTATTTGAAGATGAAGCTTATAAACATCCTCTTATTTTGTGGTTTTATTCCTATAGACATGATTTTCATCTTATTGATGGAATGTTTACATGCTCCTTAATTGTATCTTTTCCATTTGATTCTAAATTGAAATTTGTAACAAGTAATTAAATGATCATCCTTTGGTTTGTTGCATGAAAATTATTTTGTCAGCAGCAATACTTTTAATCAGGGAGGCAGTGCCATGAAAATCAATTTTTGTTTACTTCTAAAATCGAAGTAATTTAGAGAGATACACCCTGGGTAATATTACAAAACTGTGCAATCAGAGTGATTTTCTAGGGGGTTCTATTGTAAGGATTAAAGTCTGAAAGCCCTGTGGCTTTTGTATCCATTTAATGTATTTATTCTCCAAAAGTAAATTAAAACAAGAAAGATATCTGATTGAAAGCTTAATTAGTTTTTAATAAAAGGGTAACATGGGGATAGCATTTAGGGTGTGCTGATTTTAACTTGACCTCCAATTATTTTATAGGTTGCATGTGTAATCATTTGTGGTACTTTTCATAAGCACCATGGGAATATTTTTCAAAACAAGTATCAGAAATATCACAAAAAATAGCTTATGGGGTTGGTCAAAGTATCGACCTTGTAATCGTGAAATTACACATATTATGACTGAATGTTCTATGTGTATCTTCATGAAATTTGGCAAACACTTTTATGAACAGCTAGCCAACTCCAGTTATTCTTATTTTCAACATTTAAATAGTGTTTTTTAATGGACAACTTTACCTATCAATAATAGCAGTTTATTTGGAATTACTAATTCAGATCCAAATCCAAAGACAGTAGGTGTAGTTTCTCTGACAAAGGCTGATTGCAAATAGGCAAATCATTATCTATGAAACGTTTCGTGTTGACCCTTTATGAAACACCAGAAGTTTCTTTTGCAAAGGCTGATGGCAAAGAGGTAAATCTTTATCTGCAAGACACTCTTTTAATCCTTTGTGAAAACTTGACCATATATCTGGACAACTATCTCTTTGGTCTTTGCTACTATAGTTTTAAGATAGGAACTTTGTTCATTCCCTAAAAGGACTAGTGTAAATGTGAATTACTTCAAGAGCCTATCTTCCCCACCGCCTTTATAAATACTGAAATTCTTGCTTTGATAATTCATTGTTATGTTACCATCTTAAAAGTTAGCTTAGAATAGTAAGTGTATGGCTCTTTTTTCTGTTTCTTCATTCCATTATTCTTTATAACTTGTTACTTTTAATGAACTGATGTATCTACCTATGTAGGATTCAGACAGTGGGTTCTGAGGCTTGCTCATGATTGTAGCTTTGGTACCATGTTGTCAATGTAAAATTATTGTTTGGTGCTAGTTGTTAATATTGTTGTCCTTGATGGATCATCATAAAAATGTAAAAAAAAAACAGAAAATTCCATATATAGTTTTGGTGTTACATTGGTTTTATTAGTGATACAGAGGTGTAAAAATGAAACAGGTTGTATTATTACAGCTTAAGTTACTCTTATTGTAATTGTTAAAAATGATAGTGTTGTATATTTTCTTCTGTTTGTACAAGTCATGAACATTTGGAATTCAAACAGTACCAGTGCACCTTTACTTCATGAAATCAAAATACTTAACATTTATCTACAAACAAACATTTTGAAATCTGTCATACTGTGAGACAACTTTTAAGAATTTTATATTATGATAATCTTATATCCCTGATTTATTATGTGTGTAGGTACAGTGTGTATGTTACTTTCGTAAGTACTTGTGTGGGAGGAGAGAAGATACTCAAAGATGGAATGCACAGAGTTCTGGAAGCTTTATAAAGTACGGTCTCTATGTGTTTTTATAATATATCTATCAGCTAGGAAACTGCCTGTTCTCATCTGTTGTATGTGTATTGCTTTGAGCTGTACCATAATCAAACAAGAGTACTAATTTAATTTACAAAGTAGTCAGTTGAAATGTTTTCAGAAATGTGTGATTTAAAGATGTTTTTTATGTGTGTGAATTACATATACTTGTTTTGATATATTTTCATATCATATGGACTTAATGTTTTAAGTGTTTACAAGTAAAACTGTAAGTTTCTAGTGACTTAGGAGAATTAGTCAAAGCATAATTTATTAGTGGAGAGCAGCCAGCTGGCAATAGTGAATGTTACTGTGTCTTACATGTAACATTTGTTACTTGTAATAACATTTCTTATAATTAACATGCCAATTGTCATAATTTTTTACTGTCTTTCACACTAAGACAAAATCTAGAGGATGAAAACAAAATATTGTTATGTAATGTATCTAGATTTGTTCTTGGTATTTGTAAGGTTTGTTTTCACTTGCCAAGCACAACAATTTAGCTTTCCCTCAAAAAAGTCAACTAAGTATTTTTATTTTATTTTATATTTTGTGTTTCTTGTTGTGGATCTATAAGATAAGTAATACAAAGGTATAAATACACATTGTTTTTATTTTTCACATTTGTTTCTCTTTACTCATCTGATGAAATCAGTAATAATAAGGTAAATACACATTTTCATTTTTCAAATCTATCAGTCTGCTCTTTTCATGAAATCAGTTTTTAACACATAAGTTTTGGACTTGTAACAAAGAGTGGCACCTAGAATCACCTTTAACATAGAGAATATAGATTAATTAATCTATAAATGTGAATAGAAAAAATGACCTCTTTGATCATGTATTCTAAGTATCCCAGCTTTTCTGAGCAGCATGTTCTTAAAAACAAAGTAATTTTAAGTAAGTTCGATGATAGAAATATTTATTGACTACATAAAACTGAAAGGGAAGGATATGAAATTAGCTTTAGTGAAATATACAAATTAATACTAAGTGGTGTCCCATGTGTTTCAGTGTATGATGCCACATTAAATCCATCACACATTTGTAATGTTATTATTAATTGACTGTAAGAAAATGAGGTGTTGTGTATCTGGCATTACAATCTTTATTTATTTATTTTCATGATCAACATAAGAAGTGATTGTTAATTCTTTGATGTAAGAGTTCGTTTTAAAATGTTGATTTATTATTCATCAGTTATAACTATAAAATCGCGAAAAAAAGTATAAAATTTTCTTCAGGTAGACAAATCCGCATTTGTTTACCTGAACTGAATTAAAGCTTAGGTGGCTAGGTATGTTTATATTGCTTAGAGTTGAGGACGCGAATAACGAAAAAGGCATTTTTTTAATATAAAATTCAGTTTTAGAAGCATTAATACTTTTGCTATATCATTTTTTGATAAAAATGGGTTGGCTTGTTTTCACCCAACACTGTTAGGGTGTGAGACGCCTAGCAAGTACGTGCACCTACTGGCACAATGTGCTCGTGCAGACTGACATCATGTGAACGACATGGCCTCACCTACATCGTGGGGAGGGGGCAATAAAAGATATGTTGCCCCTCCCCTTAAAAAATGTTTGGGACCAAACCACCTGCTTTGGTCGTCCATGCTCGTACTACACTGATTTTTACTTGCATGAAGTTAATTTCAAGGTTTTAAACATCTTTAACTTTTAGTAAGGACTTAAAAAACTTGCCCAGATAAAATATTAAAATACATTTATTTAGTTCTGCACCCACAGTCAAGAAGACCAAATGTTTTTCTGTATTCATTTTAAACATTGGTCATAAAATTATTAGCTATGTTAATTTCTAAGGTAAAAATCGTGTTAATTAATACGTAGGATACTGACATGTAAAATAATACTTAGCAAGGTCGCCTACGAAAGCAAAAACATAACATCGTTAATTATAATCAGAACTAGCAGAGACCCGCAAAACATTTGCGGCCAAATTAGTATCTTTATTGCAACATTACTTCTTTAAATACACGATTTCTAGAGTAATACAAAATAATTCTAATCTCAGACACCGAATGCTAAAAGTCCACTTGTCTTAGTCCTAACATTAGTTAAGCCTTTATTAACTATGGCCTATATTCGATAAAGAGATAAATTGACACTAACTTGTGTAGACTACTCGCTTCTAATTGACAGGAAGCCAAACTACTTAAATTATGTTATAAGTTGCTATGATATCAGTGCGTGACTGAAAGACGTACAGATACACTGTGTTTTATAGTATTAGATGATCGATTAGTCAGCGGTAAGGTTTCTTCATTTATGTTTCCTTGCGCCATCTATTAATAAAATGTAACAAAATAGTTATGAAATCAAAACCATATTAACATATTTGCGTGTAATGGGTTTTGTCCATTCTGCTCAAATATATGTTGGCTTTAGTAATTTACGAACACTGCCAAAAACGTAAATGCATTATCTTCAGGTAGATTTTACAAAGTGAAGAAACAATCCTCCATTGGTAAAAAGAAAGTGAAGCAAAAAAACCCTACTTTCGATTGGTTTGGAGGAGAACTATCCAAGGATGGATGAAATAGAAAAAATACAATAGACTATTTGATAGTCAGTGCGTTAATACTATTTTCTTTAATAAATGTCATTGTGATGTACATGAGCATGTTTGTAAAGTGCAGTTTATTGTTCTTTCTTGTTTGTATGTTTACAAACGCTTTTTGTTGTATGGTGTAGAATGGCAGTGTCGTTTCAAGTTCCATACCTACATTATCTTGTGTCAGTTTTTTTATGATTCGGTGGATTTCAAATTTGAAAACAAAATAAATCAGATTTATGAAACCGTGTGTGTGTTTTATCTACGAGCAAGTGTTTACGATGCTATCTAACATAATTAATTCAAAATATTCAAAGAATTTTCAAAATACACACGGCCCTCTCAAAGTTTTTAACAACTGTTTATTGTTTCAGGGCTGGTCGCGTGTCTTTGGAAGGTTAGTGCATCAGATGTCTGCTAGCCTCATTCAGAAAAGTGTTCTTCGTAATATTCTTTCTTTTTTCTTTGGATCCCCTCCCCCCAGTGGCACAGCGGTATGTCTGCGGACTTACAACGCTAGAAACCGGGTTCGATACTCGTGGTGGGCAGAGCACAGATAGCCCATTGTGTAGTTTTGTGCTTAATTACAAACAAAAAAAAATTCTTTGGAAATCGAGTGTCCCCCTGGTTCATTTACTTCAAAAACAGATGTGTACTTTGTGTCGTTTTGTCACACTTCTTTTTTACTATACTTTTGTCTAGAGGTTGACACTATCTAATCAGACACACGTAAAAAACAACAACAAAGGCTCATCAGTTTGTACAGAATTTACAAAGTAGTCATTCATATAGTTTTACCGCGTTATATCTGTGTTGTGGTTCCGAAGAATCTATGAACGTTACAGCTCCCATTATTTGAGAACTATTTTGCGTGCTGGGCAAAACATTTAAAGTTCGAACCGTGATGCTGCTGAGCGCATACAGTATGAAAGTGAAACTTAAGCCCGCTATTCGCAGATTGCGAGTCGAGTGCCCTAACCACCTGGCCATGCCGGGCCTAATCAGAAGTTATGCTGAGGTAACCTATGGCATTCATTCTGCTTTCTTAAGAGGTCTAGGGTATGCCAGGAAAACATGGCCAAAGCTATGACTCAGTTTGGACCATACAATAAGGGCGAGTTATTCTTGTAATTTGTTCCAAATCTGTATTCTCCTATTGTGTAAAAAAGGATATCAGCAGATTGAATGGATCGCATAACCGTTCACCAGTCCTTATTAATCCTGTGTCTGTGCTCTTTACACCACTCAAGGCATTTTTTATTGTTGGTAAATGCGTCAAATGGTTTAAACAATGATCTCCTACTGTCATAGCCCATTTGTTGCAACGATATTTGCAATGTAACGGCTGGAGATGGATAGAGATTGCCCTCACTGAATTTCTGTTAGTTGGTGTATTGATTGTTGACGGTTGGACTTTACCATCCTATCTAACCTCATTTCTCCTCTTTCTGTCATTACGTGTGTGCGGTCACAATTCCCCTTCGCAGTAGATATTCATTTTTTTTCATGATAAACTCAAATAACAGGTGTCTTGGAGCAGCCTATCGATGAAATTCTTGGCCACTGTGGCACCCGTTAGACGTCCACCCACTGTCATGTCGCTTTTGAACACTGCAATATTTTTGCCTTTCTCTATATTTGTTAGACTGACTACAAATGTGCTTTTCCGGTCATCTATAGTGTTGCATTGATCACCTTACACATCATGTGATCAATCTAATTTGCACCTACAGCTCGGATCAGACCAAAGTCTAAAAGAGTATATGTAGTTCCTAATAAAGTGGCTACTCCCTCTATGTAAGACTTGCATTCAAAGCTGGTTGAAATAACCTGCTCGTTGCTACTATAATCAGTAATACAGTCACGTGACAATTCTAACATTATCCAAGTTCAAAGCTTTCAAATTCAAATAAAACATTATATAATGAACCATGACAAATATTTGATATACACTGCTTCAAGCAATTGAGAGTTAATCAGAGTTTTCGATATTTTACTATGACAAGGCACAACAGGTAAGTAATTTTAATGTTAATGTTTTGATGAAAAACAAGTGTCCGCGTAATATGCACATCTCAATGGTATATGTAAGTGAAGGAGACACACTACTTTCACATTTAGCAGTTTGCACAATATCAGAGTTCATGGGGCCCACTGAAATATTTTCAAGGGGAGGCAAATCATGTATGTAGGGGATCAGATTTTACAGTGCAAGTCAACAGACTAAAAGAATATGTTATGTTTGCAAACACAATTTTAGAGTTTTGATAAAAACTACTAAAATATTTAGTTTAACTACGATGTTAAGTTTACATCATAATACGTGCAATTTTTTTGTGAAACGTGTGGGGGGGGGGGTGCGAGTGCCCCTTCCTGCGGGCGCCCATGTTAGAATGTGTAAGAAGATCCAGACCGAGAGTGAAACATAACCAGACATGGATATATATATAACAATAGGGCTCTACACAACCGGTGGGGTCTCAGCTTCTCAAGATGAACCAACAAATGGATGACATATTAAGCATACAATCAGATACAATAGTGTAAGAATAGGAACTTTAGCAACATCACGTTTTATTTATGAATTGGAAATACGCAAAATTCCCATTACGGCAAAATGTGATTTTTGTTTAGTGTGTTAATATTTGTTGTTATTTTGCTAACTGCAAGTACTTAAATGAGTATTTTTCGTTTGATATTAACTTTGTAAAACTACTGTATAGTTTTGCAAGCTTCTTGAACGAAATAAACAAAAGAATAGACCATATAAGAAAATAAAGAGAAAGGTATACACACACAAAGAATTTGGTTATATTCATACTTTACTCAAAGATTTCTTAATCTAAAATACTGGTCTCACATGAAGAAATGCTGAATTTACAGACCCATAAAATATTGACTGTTGTGTTACGTACATAAAACACAACACGAGTCGTAAAAAAAAGCGATTGAAAGAAAACGTTTTCCAGTTTGTTGCTTACGCCTTAGGCAGAAGAATATCAGTATTTAAAGCATACGATGCAATAGCGTGTGAGAATGAAAATATTTGAAGTTACGAAAAGTCTCCCTACTATCGCCTCTAGGCAAACTTAATTCTTTTCTCTTAGTAAACAAAATAACTTGATGTTATATGCACCTATTTGCTATCATTTTACAATCATTTCCAGTAATATAAAGTGCTAAATATTCTCAGAATTTACAACTTGGTTCCTGTGGTTTAAAGCTTATTTTACACGATTTGAATATTTCCCTTTAAACGTAATGTTCTAGTAAAGGTTTTCCATTAAACACTGTGTTGAAAAATTCGCTTGTTTTTTTTAAGATGCATCTGTTATGTCTGAACTGATAGTGGAAAATTTAAAGAGCAAAACTGGTGAACACATACGTTTTCACCTATTCTCCCGTCATCATCTCCATGAATTCTGAAACAAAAGAGGACAATAATAAAAATAGCATAAAAGAAAACGGAAGTCTTGAGGAAACAAAAATATAAAAAAGAAGAATTCTGACACTTTCAATTTTGATCTAATGACGTGTAAAATTAAATCTTGAAATTTTGATTTTGTATACATTTTAACTGTTACATATTGACAAATGCTTCAAACGAGGCATTGAAAACCTCTTTTGGGCAGAAGATTACAGCGTTATTTTGTTATTCACAGGGTAAGTTTTTGTTGGCAGTTGGCAAGAGAAAACAACCTGCCAAAGTTTTTGCGTCGTAACACTGCACAAAACAAGTAAAGAATACTGTGAATGTATAACGTTATAACTACAAGGTAAGACCACAGTTATAAAATAATGTCAATCAATCTTTTCAGTTTACTGTTATGCAAATCGAGTATTTGGTGGTCAATTATCTGATTTGAAATGTGAATAATTGGTCATTACGCTCATAAATGGGCACTTGGTAGAAATGTTTTTACAGTTGAAGCGTTTCACTCCAGTAAAAGAGTGAAGTCACCACGACAGTAGATGAAGCCTGACTTTCGTTGAGGTATCTTTACAAATGAAGCGTTTCACTCCAATAAAGAGTGTAGTCACCACAACAGTAGATGAAGCCTGACAGAGGTGTTGCTTATTTAAAATCAGAATGTTAGTAAGGTACGTAGCTTCACACAACTCTTCTAAAAGAGTTGTTTCCAAGACATATTTCATTTCTGAAATCTCTTAATGTCATGCAATGGATCTCCCACTAACATCACATGAGTGCTTGATGAAATTAAAGTCCGGTGAGCGTGCATGTCACTCCATTCTGTTGGTCAATATTCTTTTCAAAGTATGTATCAACCCATTTAGCACAGTTTAGGCGGGTGATATTATTCTTTAGACTAAATTAAGGGCCAATTGCATCAGTATATGGTGGCACAAAGTTATAGGATGTGGTCCCTATTGTATCAAAGTACAGAAGTTAATTCATTAGTAAATACTTATTCTTACCCTCCAGTCACACTTATACCACCTTCATGTGCGTAAAAAGAGGGTTTAAACTGATTCCAGAGTTTTCAACTCAGAATAATTCTGTCATCTGGCTGCAGGAACAAACTCAGCCTTAAAAAGAATATTGCTTCACATATCTGTACACTGATACGGCAACCATATTTCTAACTGTCCGAATTCTGATACGGTGTCCGTGTTTCTAACTGACTGTGTACTGATACGGCGACCATATTCCTGTATGTACACTAATACGGGGTCCATATTTTTAACTATCTATATAATGATATAGCGTCCATGCTTATAACTGTATGTACATTGATACGGCGTTCATGTTTATAACCGTCTGTCTATACAAGGATATGGTGTTCGTGTTTCTAACTGTCTGTATACTGATATGGCGTTTATGTTTCTAGCCTTCTGTACACTGTTATGGCGACAATGTTTTTAGCTATCTATACATTGATGTGGCGTCCATTTTCCTAACTCTCTGTACACTGATACGGCGTCCATGTTTATAATTGTCTGTACACTAATACGGCGTTCATGTTTATAACTGTACGTACACTGATATGGCGGCTATGGTTATAACTGTCTATACAATGACATGGCGTCCATGTCTAACTTTTGCGGGTTACACTGATATGGCGACTATGGTTATAACTGCCTATGCAATTATATGGCTTCCATGTCTAATTTTTGCGGGTTATGAGCATCTGGACTCGGAGTATATACTTTATATGATTGCGGTGAGCCAAAATCGTCAGCTGTTGACTAAGTGTAATGATATTCAGTTAGGTATCAGCGCTGTACCACTGATTTGGAAACAGTTAATATAGTTATTTAATTATTTGACAAAAGTTTCAAAGTTTTCATTTGTTACCCATCTCAGGCATGATAAGTAGATTATAGTTTGAGAATCAGTGGTGTTGTTAGTTGGTTGTTTAGCTTTGGTTTCATTTTTTCAATTAAGAGGGCAGGTTTTTTTCCTTAACGTCCATTCATCTTTTGCAGAGTCTATTATTATAAAGTGTTCGATGTTTGGCTTTTCTGTGCAGTCTTTGTTTAGATGGTTGTAAATTCCAAATTTGATGGAAGGGCTGTTTTATATATACTCCTTGATTGTGGTAGCTAGGGTTTGTGTCGTTGACCCAATGTTGCCATGCCTACAGCATGGATAAGTGTATTTATACATCACAAGCGACATTTTGGAAGGAGGTATTTTATCTTTGAAAAAGGTAAAATTGTATATTCGTTTGTTCAGTTTGAAAATATGTTTGTTTGTAATTAAGCACAAAGTTACACAATGGGCTATCTGTGCTCTGCCCACCATGGGTATCGAAACCCGGATTCTAGCGTTGAAGTCCGCAGACATACAGCTGTGCCACTGGGGAACATTTGAAAATATGTCTTAAGCTGATTTGGTTATAAGTGTTTGTAAAATGTTCTTGACATATCCTTGTAGTTTGATGCTATGAGAACTAATAAAGGGTAACACAAAGATGATAGAACACTTGGGAACGTTGAAGTCTGGAATCTTGGGAGTGCAAATTTTATTAAGATATTCAAAAAATACTTTAGTTGAATGATAGAGGGTAAGCCTTTTTGATCAAGTATTTTATTATATTGATTACTTCATCATGAAAATTACAGTAAGAGTCAGTAAGTTTATAAGCTCTATGAATTAGAACACTTATTAAATTCATTTTGTAATAGTCAAGTATAAATGTATTGAAATGACGACACAGACCAGAAAATTTTGGTTTGTGGTAGTATCTAGTTTCGAACATTTTGTTCAGGTTGAAGACCTCTTGTTCTAAAACTTGTAATTTCGTTTCTTTTTTTTTTTCAACTGTAAACTTGATATCCCTGTGTTTAGAATTTAAATAGTCTTAGAATTGTTTGGCGTGGATCTGTTCTCTGGGTACAATAAGCGTTATAAACATATCTCTTATAGGCTAAAGGCCTAAATTCAGACGGATATGGCTGCAACCAGTTAGTTGCGTGATGAGACAAAGATTAAAATTACATAAGCTGGGAGTAAGTGTCTGAGGTTTGAAAGCAGTTTCACGTCCTGATAACAACACTTTGATGCACTTATAATCATTTGCATCAACTGGCTTTGTTTGGCCGCCTTGGATTTGTTCAATGGCTGTTCAACTGCATGAAACATCCAGGTGTCTTTTTTTAAGGTTAGATATAGTCTGTGAACAATTTAAAGCAGATTAAACCTCGTGATACACTTTAAAGTGGCAACTCAGACAAAACTTCGTGAGACCACTGTATATATATATGCTGAATAATCAGTCATTTGCACTTCAGATCACAGAAATGACCACTGGATACAAGATTTGCATAACAGTGAACTAACTGATATTACTTGCCACAGGATGATTCTCTTGCCATACCTATTCACAGTACTAACTATCTGTATTTAATCAGTATTTTCTTTAAAAGATATTGGCGTTTAACGGTAACGTTTAAACAATATTGATCTGGAAGCAGCAAATACAACATAAAAAAATCAAACAAGAAGCGTGTATGCGTGTTCTAATACACAAAATATCTGCATCGGTTCAGATATTGTGTAGTTTAGTAGATATTCTTCCGCAGGTCCCCGAAAGTGTTCTGTTTCAAGAGTAAATAAAACCATATTAAGAGTAACAAATATTTTTATTTCTTGCTTTTGAAGTTCAAATGTCATGCTGTATTGTAGCCTACAGAGAGCATAATTCTTCTCGTAATTCATATTATGCGCACGTTTTACTGACGTCACGACAATGCAAATTACAACGTTAATCATCCCTTATGTGACGTAATTTTAGTGTTTACTGAATGACTGACAGACAACACACTACAGTATACTGGTGCGAGTGGTTAAAACAGGTGACACCTGAAGGTAGCCTTCGGCTCCCTTTCGGGAAAATAAATTAGTATATGCAAAAATTCAAACTAGTAGACTGCTACAGCTTTCTGGAATATACAAATCTGTACTGGTGATTTTTTTTTCAATTCTTGTTAAAATTAACTAGTATTATGATATTCCAACACTAGGTAGTTAATTTCAAAATACTTACCATCAAAGTCAACAGTACCGCTACCGTCAGTATCGATTTCTGCGATCATCTCGTCCAGTTCATCTTCCGTGAGTTTATCATCCAGGGCTCTGAGAATGTCTCTAAGATCGGACACATTGATGTACCCCTGACCCTCTTTATCATACATTCTGAAGGCCTCACGCAGCTCTTCTTGCATGGCCTCAGCATCTTCCTCTACTAGAAACCTGGCGGCCAAAGCCACGAACTCCTCAAACTCCAATTCTCCGCTACCTAAATTAGTATTCTACTGTTTATTTATATTTATCAAGTCTATTAGTCTAAAAAATCGATTGTTCTATGATGGTATTTATTTAATGATTCAAGTTTGAATGAATTTATAAAACTAAACCAAACATGGGATCAATTGCAGACCCAAGTTGAAAATCCAAAATGACCAATTTTAGATCCATATTGAAGATACAAAATTACATGGTGCATACAATTTTTAATTGGAAAGTCTGATTTAGTTTTTAGAAATGTATTATTAATTATAAACAATATTATCGTTATTCAGATAATAACAACAAAGTGATCTTATTTTTCAACAATCAAACTCTGTTGATCACAACAATCTAGAATTCGAAAGTGTTCTTTTGAAAATCTATTTTAAAACAATTTTCAAGAAATGGTCACAGAATTATAAAAAAATTGAATTTATTAAACACCAAATTCGGAAAGTACCATCTTGATCTATCTCAGAAATCAGGTCTTTCAGGTCCTTTTCTTCAAATGTCTGGCCTAAAGTCCTAAGGATGGTGGATACCATGTTGGTATGAATAACTCCTTTTTTGTCTCGATCAAACATGTCGAAGGCCTTTCGCAACACTGCAAATAATAATACATTTTTAACTGAAGTTTCTACTCTAATAGCGGTGCACATAAATTGTGCAACAAAACCACAAGGAAATCGAAAACAAATATCGGTAAGTGCACAAGCATTTTAGTCCCAGAAGTTAACTTGTTCATCATCACACGTGTGTGTTCGCCAAGAAAAATATAAAATGAACCTACAACCAACATGCAATTGAATGAACGTTACATGATTTTTAACGAATAGACCTAGATATGAGTTTTATTGGTGTGACTGTACTTGAATCGTATTGTTATTGTCGTTTTTTAAACTTACTATGTGCATTTACATCCACTACATTTAAAGTGGTAAAACGGACTTCCTTGTGAAGACATATGAAAATACCAACTGCTTTTCTCTCAGCTCTATGAATTACTTATCGACATTAGTCACAGTTACACAATTTCCATCTAGAAACATAAAATTCAGTTTTTACGTGTTCGTAATTCTGCCAGTTCTAGAGTAGGTTTACTTTTCTTACAGTTACATACTCTCTCCGATAAAATGAATGCACAAAACAGAGGACGAATTGGGTCTCCGATAAATTAAGTGCACAAAACAGAGGACGAATTGGGTCTCCGAGAAATTAAATGCACAAAACAGAGGACGAATTGGGTGTCCGATAAATTAAGTGCACAAAACAGAGGACGAATTGGGTCTCCGATAAATTAAATGCACAAAACAAAGGACGAATTGGGTGTCCGATAAATTAAGTGCACAAAACAAAGGACGAATTGGGTGTCCGATAAATTAAATGCACAAAACAAAGGACGAATTGGGTGTCGATAAATTAAGTGCACAAAACAAAGGACGAATTGGGTGTCCGATAAATTAAATGCACAAAACAAAGGACGAATTGGGTGTCCGATAAATTAAATGCACAAAACAGAGGACGAATTCGGTCTCCGATAAATTAAATGCACAAAACAAAGGACGAATTGGGTGTCCGATAAATTAAATGCACAAAACAAAGGACGAATTGGGTGTCCGATAAATTAAGTGCACAAAACAGAGGACGAATTGAGTTTTGTTTGCTTTTGAATATTTGCGCAAAGCTACTCAAGGGCAATCTGCGATAATCGTCCACACATCTGAATTGACACACTAAAGGGAAGGAAGGTAGTCAACAGTATCTATAGCCAACTCTTGGGTTAATATTGTCTGACCGAATAGTGAGGAGTGTTTCGATGAATTAGACAACTGAAGGGAAGTCACGCGCTTTCACTGCAGTGAAACAAATAAAATGTCTACCACGTCTGTTATATCTTAGTCTGTAAAATGGTTTCCTTGGTGTGATCTAAAGAGCATACATTTCATTGCAATGAATACCTTATGTTTTAACTCATTATATCAAAAGGTGGTTCCTGCGAATCGCTATCTTGCAAATTTTCATTGCCTTCAGTTGAGGATTAATTACTTCCGAAAATGTTGAAACAGATGAAATTAAATTTTATCTATAATTAAATAATGTTCAGTCACCTGTGATTACTTTATTGCGTGCTTTATTTATCCAAGGTGTTTATTTTAGACTGGGTCAAAAACAAAACACGTTACAGCCGTGTAATGTGTACATTAACTCACCATTTCTTTACTTTAAATTGTCTTCAGTAATAATGTATCGAACGAAAATGAAGCAACACATCTTGGATACCTTTACACTATACACTATTAAATATATGCTTCTCGACAAATACAATATTCAGAGATTATCTTCTGCATGGGACTTAGCATATTCTTGTAAGAATTTTGACACACTTTATTAAGAATATGCCAGATGCCACCACTTACTCATATACACTAGCCTTAGCCTTTGCCAAATTTGGCTTACCATGGGTTTAAATCACTCTAGTGTGGGACTTTATTTATCTTACCAATCCGAAATAGCTACGTTGGTGACGGGTAACGAAAAAAACAAAACAGATTCTCGTGTTTAGCCCCAGCACTCAGTTTACGGCCAGGCAGCTCATTAATAAACTAAACTAACAACTAACACTGCCATTCTTTATTGATACTTAACATTATTGATTATGATTAACACAAAATAAAAAGTCATTTGGTTTTATATTCTTTGTTTAACGAAATAAAGATGTAAGAAGTGCAACTGTTCTTTAAGCGCTGAGTATGTTTGTCTAATAGAAATTATATATTTTTTGTCTATAATGCAATATTACATATATATAATTAGGGTTTTCAGCAGTGCAGTAAAGAGATTGAAGGAATTCCGAAGATATGAAGATTTTATTTTATTATGATGTATTTTAATTCGTTGTTTATTCAGAAGAGCGACTTTGATAATTATTCTTCATACATAGGGTTAGAGAATTAGATATCATACTTATTAGAATATTTCTGGTCAAAAAGAAAAACCGATAACAACAATAAAAACTAGGTTAGAGTTGTCAACATACAAGAAATTATTTACTCCAAAATATTAACATTCACATTAACTGGAACAAATCCACCAAAGCGACTCAAACTCACTCTTGTTATAGGTCTCAGTAAGCTGTTTCAGTGACAAACAATGAAATATTTGAATATAAACAAATTGTTGTTTGATAATGTTTCAGTTATCCCAAAATCTGTAATTCAGATCTATATCTACACAAATTATCATTGCTTTCTGTAAAGTTATTATTTGTACATCTCGAGGTTATATTAATTAATTAATCTGTTTTTTTTTCGTTCTTTTGGTGCAAAGCACATGAACTATTTACGCTCTGTCCATCGCGGGGAATCGAATCACTGATCTTTGTGTTGTAAGTCCAATTTGAAAATACAGTGGGAAAATCAAACGGAGACAGGAAACAATTAAACTACGGAGGCTAACGAAAATAATATCATTTTAGTCTCTGTGGGGAATCACATAGAATACCTTCTGCATCACAAGTAATTGAAAACAAAACATTGCCTGACTCTGTGGGGAATCACTTAGAATACCTTCTGCATCACAAGTAATTGAAAACAAAACATTACTTGACTCTGTGGGGAATCACTTAGAATACATTCTGCATCACAAGTAATTGAAAACAAAACATTACTTGACTCTGTGGGGAATCACTTCGAATGCCTTCTACATCACAAGTAACTGAAAACAAAACATTACCTGACTCTGTGGGGAATCACTTAGAATACCTTCTACATCACAAATAATTGAAAATAAAACATTACCTGATTGGTTTCAAATCTCAAAGGACTTACATTTTTCAAAATAACTGTTACTTCCATTCTTAATTTAACTCGAGGCGAAAGAAAACGTAAAACCCGCCTTTTCAGACTATGTGTAACAAACTGTAACTGTTCATTAAAATTTTTTTGGGGACGAGAGGGGTATGAAAACATTTCATAACCACATAAGGCAAGACAGAAAAATCTTCTAACTAGAATGATGAAGGTTAGCGGAACGTGCCATACGAAAACGATTTTGATGTTCTTAAGTGCTAGTGCTGTTAGAGGATTTAAAAATAGAACTATATTTCTACTGAACAAATTCTCACTTACTATACAAAAGAACCGCCCTCTTCCGGTAGGAAATGTGATAGAAATGTACTTTTTGTTTGTTTCTTAAATAAATCTACTATTCAGATTTTTTTTTTATCTTCGAATAACTTATTAATGACAGAATTAGAATAATTATTTGTAATTTATTTTAGAATAAATATTTATAGGCTTTTTTTAGAAACTAAATTTTATACATATTGATTTATTTCGTAATAACAGTTTGTAAAGAAGTAATCTGGGATAATGGACGAGTTTGATCTGTGAATCATGATGGGGCCTTTGAATTCAGAAGGGAGCGCGGACATAAGATTGCCAGTTATAATAGAGGGTGGAGATGTTTAACAGAACCACCATAAATAATGTAACACTAATATGGATTTATCAATTTAATGTTATTAGATTGTTACTACCAAGTGAAAATACGATCGCTATTATAGATAGAGTTGCTGGAGACATTATTGAAATACGTTTAGGATTCCCCTAAAAAGCAGTATTAAGAACACATTGATTACTCAATAGTCCGCATGTTTTTTTGTGCAAGAGAAACTGGCTACCCAAAGTGTGTGGAAAAATTGACATAGGTTAAAAAATTTCTTGATTGTGATCATCATCCGTTTCTACGCAACGCAGACTGGCCGTCTTAATCTTGATGTTCTGAATTTTCATTATATTTGTATGATCTTTGGAGTATACTCGGTTCGCTAAGCTGAAACCTCATTCAATTTAAACGTAAGGAAAATTGCATTAAGTTTGTTCCCATTATATGTGATTATTTCTACTATTAAAACAATTAAAGCTTGTTGGTTTTATGATATGTTTGGTTTCCTTTTAATAGTACGGTACGTGACCGTATTAATCAAGATATTTCTAACCAGTTCTAAATACTTGCAAGCAGTGGTGGGATTCA